TAAATCGATAGCCTACTCGTGGAGCACATTTTGTGTTGTAGCAAATGGAATGACAAATCTAGCATACTAGCGCACATTGGTGTCAGGAATTCGTGCCAGGCATTGCAGTTACAGATGGCAACGCGTCAACATGTTAGTTAACTGCACAAATGATTTTCTCTCACTCTCACTCTAACTCTCTCGCATGTAACTTTTACCCTGTGCGCCGTGTTTAATATCTACACCAACAGGCAGACATGCCATCCATAAGCGATGACGACAGAGCCAACCATTACACGATAATATTAAGTGAAATCTTTTCATTTTTTCCCCCTTTTTTTTTTTTTTTTTTTGTCATGTTTTTGTTTTTAAGGAGCATCTGTTACTTCTTCTATAGATATTTGTATGGTAAAAAGTTTCCGAGCATACAATTTTCCATTTCTTGTCAGGGATTTTAGTGTTTTTTGTGTGGATTACGTTTAGTTTTGCACATTTTTTTTTTTTTTTTTTTTGGTTGTTGTAAGCGATACCTTGATTGCAGCAGCAGTTTAACCTTTTTGCCAACTTACCGCTTAACCTTTACATTTCAGACTGTTATTATTTTTTTGGTTTTTCTCTCACAAACCATTTTTTTTTTACTAAACTCACTCACTTTCTTCCTACATATTGTTGTGGCGGTTCGTGTGACAAGAGGGAAGTATTTTCTTATTTTTGTATATATATATATATATATATGTATATGATACCGTATGAAGTTAATCTGAAAACATATATTTTTTAAGCAATTATTCGATTTGTCACGTAACGTTACATAATGTATAATAAATTTTTGTCAATACGATTTACTGGTTAAGGTCGTTTCGAATTCGCTGTAACATTTATTGCTCTAATGATTAGCTTATATAAAGTTGGAATTATAAACTAGAAAAGAATAATAAAAAATAGGCTAAGGCTGAGTAGGTAAACATTTGAAAAGTACTGAGAATTCCGACAAATGTTTAGATCTTATGGCAATTTTCAAAAGCGCCGAGTATCTCTCTCACGTACACGCATGCATAAAGTCTCTACTTCTGCTACGAATTTACTCAGCGTATTTCACACACGGGGCCATGATGTGCAATCCATTTCTGAGTCAAAGGACGATTTCTTAAATTTGAATAAAAATTAAAATCATTAGGAATGAAGAGGAGAAGTAAGCAGAAAGCATTAAACAAAAATTACCCTCCCGAGAAAGGTCTTCAAGAAAACGCCTATCCTCAGCTTAATCAGATCTTCTGCGCATTTTATAAAGCGTCTGAAATAAATCGCTTTTATTATTCTCGCGAATTATCTGAAAAAGAAAAATATAAATTCTAGGATTGAAAGAAGGATGACTCTTCTTCTTCTCCTTCTACCTTTGTTAGAGCTTTTCTCCTTAAAGCATATCTTTGACGCTTGCTACATTAGCAGAATATATTCGAATTGCATATGTTATGTGAAATAAAGACTTGTCAACTGTAGTGTGTGTATATGCAGAAAGTAATGTAAACTCGACACACTTACCATATGCCATTTCATTACTTTTATTAGCTGCTCAAGAAAATATTTCCGACCAGTAATGCTGCATGTGTTTTCATTATATGCTTACATTGCTGGCTGATTGTTGTTATCGGTATTCCTTTGAGGAAACGTTCTTTGGATCGTGCCTTGAATTTTGAATTGTGTGCGAATATGTGTGCAACCGTCGTAGGGGAAGCGGTAAATTTTTGAGCGATATTTAGTGTCCGAGAATGTTGTGATTGTTTGCACGTGGGTTCCGCATTGCGCCTACAATATACTGAATATTTTTGAATTGCCGGCTTATGTTTTTTTAGCCAGCATCAGAAAATTTCAGTTTGGCACGAACGCCATGTAATGTTTTAGTTTACTATCCTGCAACTAAATTGTCAGTCTTTATAATCAGGTAAGCGCGCATCTTAATAAGTAGAAAAATGCCATCTTTTCATTAGAAGAGAGAGCCTTCTCCCGATACACCCCTTCGGCTTCTAAGGGAGCGACTGTCAGAATAGGGCTTTGTACTGGTTGTGGTTGAAAATGTGATCTGACCCGAACCTTACTTGAGCCAAAACACAAGAAGACAAGTCAGATGCACAGACAACCTTACATCGATGCCAAAGGTGGTCCAGAATCAATCGGGTCCATCTCAAATCCTTTTGGTTGTTCTCTACATTTGGCCAAATTTACAACAACAAAGTGGTGTAAAGAGTGTAAAAATTGCCTTACAATTTATTCCCATTATTCTCTTCTAATCTTTGAGTTATAAAAATCTCGGCTCCCCGCGGAAGCATTTGTACTTCATCTGATCTATTTCTTCACTGCACTTGTAGACACTTCTCGCTAAGTTTTTTGCAAAATTTCCCTTTAGTGTACTCAATGACTTGCCACGTTATCGTCTATTGTCGACTTATTGCAGTTTTCAAAGAGAAGGCTTCAGCTAATATCTCTTTCCAACGGTTTCTTTTTCTTCATATTACCTCGGACAGGAGGACAGTAATCTCTTTTATGTATTATCGGCAAATAAATCTACTGAGATGCTTGATCTAGTCAGGCTTGATGTCGTCGTATCAAATACGAAGGTTTACATTTTTTAACGGCGGCAAAAAACTTGATACGCGATACTTGATAGCAGCAAACAATTGTCAGTGAAAATTTTGAAAAAAGAAAATTCAGGATCCACTGGATTACTGCCAAACGTACAAGGCATATTATCTTTGTAATCTAGTAGTTATGGCGAAATTTTAATCTGAAGATATGACTTCTCTTCTTAGCCTGCTTCTTCTGGCCAAAAATTCTTAACAAATTATAGTCGAATAAAATTTTTTTCTAACTCTGCCCACTAACTAAGTAACTCCTCGTGCAACGGCTATGGCGGAAGCGAGCGCAAATTTTTTTTTACCCTTTTTGAACGCTTATCGTTGATCAATTTGTGAGTTCTGACTGCTTGGGTGCGGCCCTTCGGGGAGTACTCGTGGTGGTTGTGGTTGGCGAGTTCCTAGCTAAAATGGAACAATTGAGTGCAGACCAGAGTGGGATTTATTGTTCCATACACAATAAACCGTTCTGGACTCTGGTGCTGTTTACGCCCCTACTCTGTGGGGATTGTCTAACTCGCCAGGGGGCGTAGTACGCTTAAAAGTGGCTTGAGCCACCGTGGGGTTAAGCCTTTCAGGCAGGAACCCACGTTAAACCCTTGCCACAAATTCTGTAACTGCTATCCCAAAACATTTGCCTGAATAAATGAAAAATTTTCTTCCTTCCTATAATAAGAAGAGGACATCGTTAGCCTGATTCTCTTCTTTGATCGCATTTGAAGTGATTGCTTCTTTTTTTTTGCCTTAGTTTTATTATCATATTAAAGGGCTTTTACTTTTCATGAAATGTTATTTCATTTTCATTAATAAGCAATTCAGTTTCTATTTGTGTGTGTAAGTAAATTTCCATAAAAACACTTGCATATGCAGTCAACACCTTTAACGCCTTTTAAAAGCTTTTGTGCTTGCGATACTCAAAGATTTTTAACGTCTAAGTGTCGCATTCACACACAATGAATATATAAATTAAATAAATTTATCGGTCGATGCAATCGGTTTTACAATTGTTAACATATACATACACAAACACACAACACACAACACACACACACACACATACATACAGAGTGTTAATATCCATCTAGAGACAAAAACTGTACGATAATAGGAAGTAATGTAAAGATTTTTCCTCAGCGATAATATGAGCAGCAAGCAAAAGAAAGAGAGGGGAAGAGAGAAAGCAAAATATTAAAACCATTTTATAGCTTAATACATGTACACGTACATACGTAGGCAGGCATACCTACGTAAATATATGTAAATGTATATCTGTATGCTACCGCTATAACACCGAGCCATGCATTCATTCATTCTTATTATCAAATAATCAAAGTGAGCGATGGTTTGTAAACATTGCACTGTGTGATCGATTGATTTACACAACACAATACGCCGATCATGATGCGATAATGATGGGAGTTAATGATGCGATTTAGATTGTGGCGTATTTAATAATTAACTTAAGTAGAAAATTAGCTAAATGAGAAAATCATATCGCAGGCAGTCTAAAAACTAACGAGCCCTGGCAATACAAGCATCTATATATTCATCTTAAAAACGTTTGCACGAGTACGAGCATAAATTGCTAAAGGATTTATTTGCTAAATTGCTTTGTTCATTAGCAGTCGGTACACATGCGGTACCAAGGCGCTGATCATGCTTCGTTTCTTTAAAATTATTTACAGATTGTACTTAAAATTTTCATTTTTTGGTTTCCGATAGCTAGATAGAATGCAATGATTACTAGATCTTCAGTCAGCTTGTTAATTGCTTGGACTTGTTTATTGACTCACTTTACTCGCATATTAATTAATCGAACCTTAACTGTGGATTAGTGATACTTTTGCGAGCGAAAGCCATGAATATTCATGCATTTGATCCTTGGGAAATAAGCAATAGTTATAGCTATATAGCCGTGGTCTGGTTCTAAGCAGTTCTATATGTTGTATGCATCTGTATGTGAATGCAAATGCTCTCAGATTATACTGTCGTCGTGCGCTTTGAACGATTTATCTCATTTGCGTGCAAGAACTTCTCGTTTTCGGCGATAACTTCATTTCATAGATTACATCGTCCGTGAGGCACACTTCGCTTAACACTGCCGACACAATTTTGCAAAACAGGGCTTTACATGGGAAGTAGTTGAAAAATTTGTCCCCAGATGCCAAGCATTTTTAGTAGAGTTCGCCCTCAGGTCAATGTATCAAATTTGATTCAAATCATCTCATAAATTACGATCTGAAAGTTGAGTACTATGGTGGATACACTAACAGACAAGCTTAATAAAAACGGCGTAGTATTTATCCTCACAAACTTACGACATCTAGTGAATGGTGTAAACACTTACCAACGAGTAATAATTAAAGCTAAATTTTTTTGTCTATTTCGCAGCCCTTGCGTGCTTAGTGATTTTAAATTTTGCCTGGTCCGAAACTCGGGTAAGTAAATGCATACATACGATAGGAATTTTCGCGCTTAAGAAAATTGTTTTAAACATTTGTAGAATCGTTTGCCAGCTCGAATTTTGGCCAGACAAACGGGCGCTACGCAGTTCGAAGAGGAACATTACGAGGCTCATGTTAATTGCAATGAACACAAGCATCATTTGAAAAAACGGGCTTCCGATGAAGACGTTGACTACGAAGTCTATCAAGGCGTAGTTGGACGTCCGGGCATTGATTTCCCTATATATCCTCGCATACCGAAAACGTCGTTTAGTTGTCGAACCTATGGCAACGGCTACTTTGCCGACATGGAAACTGATTGTCAGGTTAGTGTAATGCTTAGATTGATGTCTGTTGGAAAAGAAAAACAATTAATTAATTAATTTTTTATTGGTGGCAGGTTTTTCATATCTGCGAAGAAGGACGCAAAATATCATTTCTTTGTCCGAACGGTACAATTTTCCAGCAAAGTGAATTAACCTGTGATTGGTGGTTCAAAGTAAATTGTCTGGGATCTTCTGGATTTTATGCGGACAGCGCCGAATTGCTTAACAAGCAAAAAGTACAACGTTTAAAACCAGCTGTACCGGTTAAGGGCTTCAATATTGTAGGAGGTGGCTTGAACATTAAACCTCGCGTACCTATAAAAAATACCGAACGTTCGCGCACTAATACTAAATCGGAACGACGTATAGACTCTGAGGAGATTCCTTCATTAGAGAGTTTCGACTTTGATGATGTGTCTGGTGAAAAACTTCATAAAGTTCCTTCGAAACCTGCACTTTCTAATATCGAAAGTAATGATAACGATAATGAGTCCCAAATAACGGCCGAAAGTTCTTCATTTGTCAATAATCATAATCGGAACGATTACGGTTATGAAAAGTCGAATAAACAAGTCGCCAAAATAAGTCATTCTAGCACACAGACATCGAAGAAGACGACCGTAACAGAGCGAGGCTCACAATCACGTTCCAATTACAATAACAACCAATTCAATAACGAATCAACCGAAAGAGCTCGTAAGGGTCAAAGAGGTTCGCAACGTTATCGAGAGGAAAAGAAATCTCAGAAACTTATTAGCGACATGAACGAAAACTATTCAGTGAATGATAATGTTTACATTACCAAATCCGCTCAACTTCAGCAGAATACCACGCCTTCGTATTTCTCAGGAACTTATTCCACGGCCAAACGTTTAGAAACGACCAGATCGACGCCATTTTACACACCCACAGTACCGACAATACAAAAAGCAAAAATTGCCGAAAGTAAAACTAAAGCCACTACAATCGCCGCTCATGCGAATTCCCACAGATTTGGACCGAATGCTATCGCGCATTTTCCAGTTTTCACTGAATCATCCTACGCCCCGTCTAGCACTACGGAGATATCGGATGTGGAAGTAATCGCACCGACCACTACCAAGCCTCCAGTTGTTATAGGTATGCGTCATTTTCATGGAGATAAAGGTCCTTCGGAGATTCACAGAGTAGTTATGCACGGGAATGGAAAGCTGAATTTAGGATTATCGTCCCAGAAAGTTTATATTGAGAAATTAGTTGAAAGTACTACAGCCTCAGTCTCAACCGGTGCTACATATTTACCCAAAAACGTATCGTTTACCAATTTTTCCAATGACGGAGCCTCCGGTGATTTATTATTATTCGCTCCTGTACCCACTGTAATGATAGAAGATAATGTTTCCCGCAATGTCAACGATATGGTAAAAACTATGAACATGTTAAAATCGAAACTGGAAGATGTGGAAATTGTTAAAAGCAGTGGGAAAACGCGTAGCGGTTTAGATATACCACCATCTTCGGGGCCAGATGCCCTAATATCGTTGGCACAATATTTCGCCACAGAGAGTTCAGACGCAACTTCTCACCGATCAAATAACTTAATCGACGAATCTTTGAATAAATCAAAAAATGATGCTGGCAGCCCTTTGCCCACAATTTCTGTACGGGTTTTAGAACAGAAACTTTCCGACACCACCACTACTCTAACTACCGAATCTTCGAATGGTGTTCTGGTGAAAGCCAATGATATCAAATCTGGTTTACTAAGTAACGCAACAGTTCACAAATATTCGACATTATTTGGCCTAAAAGATGCGAAAGAAAACTCCACAGATCCAAGTGAAGGTTTACTTAGCCATGTCAATGATACGGGTAATGCAAGCGTCACCACAGCTACATTTCCACAAATTGCTTCAACCGATGCGACCATAAGAGTTTTGGCTGAGAAGCCAGAATCACGTAAAATAGCTAAAGTTTTTTCCAACGCTTTATCTTCCTATTTAGAAGATCCGAAGACATTTCGAGAGAAATTAGAGGCAGCTAGACCTACCGAGCCTCCGGTTGGAGGAAAGTCATATACAAATTTTGTGACAACAACTAATACTCCGTTATTTAATTCAGGAACAGCCGCCTCTTATTTACCAACCACCAAGTTACCCTCAATAGTGGCCTCTGTGCAAACTACGGAGCCGCCAAGCATAGCGGCTGAAATTAATAGCAATTTCGACACTTCAACCCATTTGGCTGACTTGGCCAGCACTACCGAAATATTTGATTATACGACATTAAAATTTTCGTCAGAACAAAAGCATAGTTTAGAATTATCCGCTGAACTGGAACCACCTACACCTGATTCGGGAGAAGGTGAAGAGTTCCTGCAACGTGAACAAACTCAATCGTTTGTGAATCCTTTAAATCAGCTTAGACGAGAGGAACAGAGCAAAAGTTTAAAAACCACAATTAGCACTACAATAAAACCTACAGATAATCCCTGGAACGCCTTGTCCGAGAAAGATTATCTAGATCCTTTAATGATTAACGATGGCCTTATGAAGGCACGTAAAACAAAATCTAGCACTATAACGCCGAATACATATGGACGACGGGAAATCAATGGTCCTACAACGCAATCATCATCTGATGGCAAAGGTCAGGCAGAGTTGTCGTCCGAATCACATTATTCATCAATCGGTTTAACTTCCGAACGTAGCATTAACACACGCTCTGAAAGCCAAAATTCTTGGCAGGATCTTTTCGAAACCTATCACATACCCAGAGAAACTTTGCCTTCTAATAGCGGTTTGCAGCGTATAGCTAATAAATTGTTTGGCGGTCTTAATGAAAACGAGGCTTTGCATTTAAAGAACGTTATGGCTCAAGCGGAGCACAATCGCCAAGTTCTAAGTCTCCTCCTTCTACTGATACAGACATGTGATGATCAAAATGGTAAAGCTTTGGAAAGATCACGTAAGCATTTACTTAACGCTCTCATAGACATGGACGGCAAGATAACCGACGAGAACCAAGGCAAGACGGCATATCGTAAAGAAACCCTTACGACTACAGAGAAATGGCCAATCACCACTTATAGACGGACAGGAAGTGGTGAAGAAATCACTACTTCAACCGCACATTATCCGCCCACTACTACGGAACAGGCTGCCACCACCACGAGTGCAATAATTTTAAGTACCTTATCGTCTGCTTTTAATAGTGATGAACAGACTACAAAATTTGAAATTCGAGTAGAAGATCCCGAAGAGGAAATTTTAACAGCTGCCAGTTCAAATTCCGATACGAGTTCCGACAAGAGAGCTTTGGAATTACTCAAGTCATTATATTCTCTAGCCTCAAAATTCACGAATAGACGATAAGCCGCTGTACACTCCTCTAATCTACACTATATCGCCCTCGCACTTTCCTGTTAGGGTTACAGCATAATGAATAATGAATTATCTACTTATACAGATACACTTGCCAGCAGTGCTGCTAACTTAAGGAAATAATATTAATTACCGGCATGCGAAATTATTATTATATTTAGTCAAAATTTATTCATAAAAAAATTATTGCAAAATTGAATGTTGCGGCACACTTTTTGTTTTTTTTTTTTTTAATAATTTAAATTTTAGATTTTATTTTTATTTTAAAATATATATAAAAAAATAGCCAATAGTTATTTAAGTGTTTCTGTCTACTACGACACTTCTATCTCTAGTGTAAATATGTCACAAACGATTAATTTTCTAACGCTATCCTCTCGCATGCAATCAATTTTCGCAATAAAATAATATTCGGTTTGTGTTCTTTTTTTTTTTTTCTGGAAAAGGGAGAAATTTTTGTACCGTTCAATACTCGTTTATATTATAAATTGTCATAATTCGTCTGAAGCATAATGTGACTCTTTTTGTAAATATTTATTTTCATTACTCTCTGTTTATCATTTCAAATTCATGCAGAGTAATTCAATAAAAATAAAACAGAAATTTATGTAAATATGGAATATTAAGTTTTTTTAACATGTGCACAACTCTCACGGTTAGTATTTCTCCGCTAGCTTGTACTTCAGATTCCGGGAAAGTTCTGTCGTTTATTTTAATATAAAAAACATTTGAATTTGAAAATGTTTGAAGCGTTCGTCAGCAGTCGCCCAGTTTGCCCAATGAATGCCAAAATCCTTTACAATCGCAAAATATGATTAGATGAGGATTACCCTTCAGCATGGACCTCAAAAAGTGAGTGTTGTTAGATCGACGATCGTCTTCGAAAAGAAATTTGACAAACCATCTATGGCACATCCGAACATTTACAACATCAGTTGGAAAAGTGTCATATAAGTTTTTGCAAGCAACCGTTGCGTTGCTTCTTTCCCGGAAGTCATACCAAATGCATTATGCTAAACGCACTTTATTCACTTTGCACCCTGATATTTGCAAGTAGGTCTTCTTATAACCCACGAGCACGGTGTACTACACAATAATCTTCCACACAACGCGGTTGACCTGTCAAGTAAAATTAGTAAGCAAAAAAGTGATAAAATATAATAGAATTTTTCCAGTAACCTCAGGGCTCAAAGGGTTGCCAGAAAACTGAAATAGTTCAACAAATCCAAGTCTTAACTGCAGTAGATCAAGCGAAATAGCATACCGCTACAGTGTCTACGATAAAGTTTTGACATATATGGCCAAAAGAACCTAAGGTAGGTAAAACTTTAAGTGTTGGCGAAGAAAGTTCCTGTGGTTTCCCTTAATGCAGACAAAGATGCGGAAAGTTTCTGAGAAAAACATACACTCACTTGCTGATAACGCTCATGGAGTAGTTGTGGGATATGCCCGTTGATTTCTGTGTTTGTGCGTTTAGTGTAATTAATTTAATAACTGCAGCGTTGCTAAGGTAAACTTAAATACCAATTATTTCCAATAGTACAAAGGAACAATTTTCGTGAAAATCCTTATTAGGGTAGATTGTTGATTCGAAATAGACTGAGCTCATTCAATTTGGTAATTTTCTTCATGAAGCATTGAAAATTATACCTTTTTGTTGGGTGAACTTCAGTTTTCGTTATATGAGGAGTTTCAAAAATTGCCCCTGCAATACGAACGAAATACTACTGCTTAGCTACTACTTGGGGTATTATATGGGGAATGGACGAAGTAGTGGACCGATCCGAAACACTTTCATTAACGTTCGTCCTTGGGTCAAAATACGCCGTTGTACTAAATTTCATCAAAAATTACGACCTGTAGCTTGATTTAGCAAATTTACATGGACAGTCATCGGACGGACAGGCAGGTTTAGCTCAATTCAGATTAGGATTCTGAATCGATCGGCATAACAGAAGCCCTTATGCATGTTACATACGTCTCCTTAACTTAATATATTCTGTACCACAAATGGTGTAAGGTATAAAAACGATACAATTGCCTTTTGGGTTCTCGTTCTTTGCTTTGTAATATCATGGATGAATGCATAACGAAGAGAAGAAGAGTAAATAAATGAACAAAAGAAGTTGGTAAAAAAATTTAAATCAAACAACGTTTAATAAAATGCACTATATACATCGCTTTAATAGTTAGCTTTATACTTATAATTTTCATATTACATTTTGCTCTGCCTGCCTAAGCAATGTCCAAACAGGCCCTCTGAATATTACATTTCTAGGGCACTTTTTAAATAGTTCCTATTCATCCTATATTTCCAATTGTTTCACATCTGGGATTAAGTAACCTATCTATTACCATTAAGTTTGCCAAATATGGGGACTCATGTGACATATAGTGATTTTATTTTAATTTCGCTTTCAATACGAGGCTCGATAGTTTTTTTGTTTTCGAGCTGAAATATTAAAACTTACATTCGATATTTTTAGTTGCGAAATCAATTATATCACCTGCTCCACTTGAATTCGTTAAAGGTGTTCAATAAAAAAAACATTTCCTAATCGTGATCTTTACTGAATTTAGTAAGGGTAGGAGAGGATTATCCAAAATCTGCTAATTCTGAAACTTGATTTGATGGGCTCCCCTTCATATTTTCTGAATTGGATTGTCTCCTGTTTAATGCATAGAGTTCCGAATGTTTTATTTAAGTTCTCTTTGCTTTATATCTTAATGAACAGCCATACGACGACATTGCAAAGTTTTCATATATGCGGACAATATCAAATTGTTCCTATTGTTTAGCTCGTCTGAACATTCCTGCGTCCTACAATCTCACTTGAACGTACTTAGCGAGTGGAGAGATGTAAGCTTTATGTCACTTGATCGGAATAAATGCAAAAAAATAACATTTAATGAAAATGCGTCTCTATACACACCCTATCGCATTCATCAAGTCCGTTTGGAAAATTTATCTCTTTTCCTGATCTTGGTTTCATCTTTAATTATCGGCTGCATTTTAATTTACATATTGGGCACCTTATCAATAAGGAGAAAAGCCTTCTTGGGTTTGTGAAGCGTTAGCCGTGGAAATTTTTGGACCCATATTTATTAGACCAATTTCAGATTATGCTTCACTGGTGTGATTCCCGTCCATCCGATGTTATATTGATGCTATCAAATAAAAAATCGCACAAAACCACACTCTTACTATTTGCCTTGCGAGGGAGATACGAGTCCCAATTCGCCACCACATGAGCATAAACTATTGCTTATCCTAAGACTAAGCAAGTCTTGAGAAACGTATACTGGACTTATGTACAACCTTTGCAATCAAATTACTAAACGGCGAAACTGCTTCGCCAGCGCGAAATTGGTCTATACGTGCCTTGTAGGTCTTTTTGGAATTACTTTCCCTCTCTCTCTCTCTTTCTCTCTGTCTCTCTCTTTCTCTCTCTTTCTCTCTCTCTCTCTGTCAGTCTACACATGGATTGTAGGTCTTTTACGCATTACTCTCTCTCTCTCTCTCTCGCTCTCTCTCTCTCTCTCTCTCTCTGAAGAGTCTTAATTTATGGAGACAAACAAGATACAACTTTGCCAGCTCTATTAATGTCATTAATAGAAATTTAAACGACACATATCACTTATTCTCCTTGCCAGATTCATTGTCTAAAATTCAGTCCCTATTGCATAGCCTTAGCTAACGTCTGCCTTCTATTTTCGTTAATGCTCCAATCCTGTAATTCATATACCCAGTTCGATCGATAGCGAGAGCTGTAAACTGAACGTGTATTTTGATATCAAGTTAAAATATTGATTTTTAATATCAATGTTGAGGGAACACTCATTCGCCATCGTGTACCATCAACCGATTGCTCACAAAAACCAATTTCAATATCGAGTTTAAGCGATAACGAGAACTGTGAACTGAACCTGTGCTTTGGTATTGAGCTAGAGTTTATCTCCGATGTTGAGAAGACACTCATACGCTACAGTGTACCATCAATCGAATTCTTTCAAAATGTTAGATAACGAGAGTATCTGTGCACATACTTGGATTTTTTTACAAGACTTTATCCTTACAATTATAAGGAACGAAAATTGTTTCTAGCTCCGCTAAATTCATTAAGACCATACCCGAATATTGATTGATAAAAAGCATTTGCATAATTTGCATTATGTCGGCGAAACCTGACGATCTGTATTTAAATTTATGCTGTTTTTTTATACCCTACACGGCTTGCAACATCCAAAAGGATTTGGGATAGATTCACCTCTTCTCCTTAATCTTCTATTGTTTGCCGCTGATGATGATACGGATAAATTTGATTTACAAAATTATTGCAAGAGTTTCTATTAAAAAAGTCTACTCCGGCTCTGCAAAAGAATTGTTAGTAACCTTGACCTAAATAATATTTACTTATTTTATTACCGAATTTCGATTGGCAGCAAAAACAATAGCAAATAATTGCAAAAAAAAAAAAAACAAAAAAAAAGAAAGAAAAAAAATGAATAAATAAATAAATAACATAATTTATCTATCAATTTACATAATATTCGTATATGAAAAGAGGCCATCACTGCTTAACTAAGCAAGGTTTTCTCTTCAAAATCTCAAAGAAACTCTCAAGAGATTTTTACCGAAAAAGCAAAAGCAATAAGCAACACTAGAAGGATACGATCTGACCTTAATTTATTCGTTTTTCGTTTTGTTAGTTTGTTAAAATTCACAATTTGTCACATTTGTTTGCCGCCATCCAATCAGAATTAAATAAGTTGTGAAAAATTTGATGTAGCAACGTGCCATCCAATTGCAAAGGTATATATCGGTTATGAAAGATAGCTACATATGTGGTATTCTCTCGACTAGTTGGCTGAAATGTGCATTAAAAATATTATTGCGCTAACCACGATAATAAGTAAAGGGTTTTGAAAAGTTCTTATTTTAAGAATATTAAGAAGAAGGCCGAACTCTTCTCGTACGAACGATTTCGAATTTGCGCAACAACAATTTTGAATGCAAACGGCTACCGCGACATTTAGAAAACCTTCACCTTCTTTGAAAAGAGTTCGATATTCTTCTCACAATGAATTGTTAAAAAGTCTAACGTCTAACCTAAAGAACATACTAGACGTTATTAAAGGAAAAGCATTAGATTGAAATTGCAAACTTAGAAATTCAAAGATATAATGGGAAAAATTCAAAAAAAAATCGTTGGTGCAGTAAATTGGATATCAAGTCTTTAGTAAATATTACCCATAGCCAAAATTATGCAGTATGCAGTGAAAGAAAATAGCAATCATTCTAGAACGACATAATATGGCTCAGAACATCATTTTAAATATCTCTATGAATATATGATGGCCTTATTTATTTTATTTGACACAATGATTAACCTAAGGAGAAAGGAAAGGAAAAGTCGAAAAGAAAGATTATTACAGTAAAAACAATCAATCTTCCTGTTTTCTACGATTTTATCTTTCCTCTTTCTTCTTCTGTTACCTCTTTTTCTTTTGCCTTTTTTTTATTCTTGCTGACTTCTTTTTAGTATCCTTTCTGCAACCTTTTCTTTTTCTTCTCTTCATTTCTCTAATAATTCTAGTTGCTTTATCTCTTTTTCTTATCTTCTGTCTTTTCTTTCTTTCGTTTCTTTTAGGATTCTTTTCCCAGGCTTTTCTTCGCTTTCTTTTATGTTTTCGTTTTACTTCTTCTCGCTTTTCTTTATTTTTTGGTTTCTTTTCGTATTCTCCTCCTTTATTTCATTTTTCTTCTTCTTTCCTTTCTGATTTCTTCTCTTCCCTTTCGCTTTTTATTTCTTTCTGTTCTAATGCTTTTCTAGCCTTTTTCTTCTCTTACTTCTTAAAGTGCAGTATATCCTTTTCTTTGTTTTTCTTTTCTTTCTTTCATTTGGATTCGTATTCTTTTTTCTATCTTTTCTTATTCTTCTCTTTTTCATTTGCTTTTTCACTTTTCTACGCCTTTTTTCTCATTTTTTTCCTTCATTTCCATTTTCTAGTCGCTTTCTTTTCTAGCTGTCTTCTTCTTTTTTTTTATATTCTTCTCTACTCGTCTCCTCAATTTCTTTCCGCCCTTTTCTTTTCATATTGATTTTCTATCCCTTCTTCTTTTGCTCTTTCTTTTCTTTTACTTCCTTTTTCTCTCTTTTTCTTCTCTTCTCTCATTTCTTTCTTTCATTTCTGTTTGTATATTTTTCTCCTAATTTTTCTTTTTCTTCTCCAGTCTTTTCTTTTCTCTCATGCTTTTGTTTTTCCCTTCTCTTCTTTTACTTTTTTTTTTGTTAATTTTTTTCCTTTTCTCTTTTCTTAACGTAACCCCTTCCTATTTTTTCTACTTCTAGTCCTTCCCATTTTTCTTCTTTGCTTGTCTTTTCCCGGCTTTTCTTTCTTTCTTCTTTTCGCATATTCTATTTTTCTCCTTTGTTGTTCTTCTTCTTCTTTCTCTTTTCATTTCTTTTTCCCTTTTATACCCATATGTGTCCAAATCAATTTTAAACATTTTTTATTTAACTTGCTTTCCTGCCGACGTCGAAATTCCCGATCAATATTTCTTAAACTTTATTATGCCTGATCGTTCCAACAATTTGCACATATCTTTCATACCGGCAACCATGCTATGAATAGTAAGGAGAAACTTTCAAAAGAGCGCACCCTAAGTTGTGGCAGATCAGGTTTATCTTCATATGGGTATCAAATGAAAGGGCTTAAATAGCCGAATGGTTAAAAAAAAAAGGGTAACAAATTAATAAAAATGTTGAAAACAACCTTTCACTTAAATAAATCTGAAGGCAGAAATATAGCCGTATTAAAAATGATTGGCACGTAATCTGTTCTCCTTAGTTTAGTTCATTTAAATAAGTTGTTGTTTTACAACATTTTTTCTAAGTAACTTATTGGGCCCTTAAAGGCAAACATCGCGCAGCTTCATCTTCTTCATAAAACTCAGAAGAAAAAAGGAAAGTTTCCCAAAGTCCTAAAGTCCGGCAATCGTAAGTTTCAAGGTCAAGGGTACGAAATTTTGTAAGTATCGCTATTACTAAGACTGTGTGGTTGGGCGCTTCAAATTTTCCAACAATCGTAAGTTTCAAGGTCAAGTGTACGCCAATTTGTACCGGATAGCAGTGGTTGGATCATTTACGGATCTGCGAGTAGGTAAGAATCGCTATTACCAAGACTGTGTATTCGTCGGTGTCAAATCTCAATGCGGTAGAATTGATTGTGATCGCAGTCGATTGAACACACACCTATTAGGCAGCGGCTGCTTTCCTATCACTTGCTATCTCTTTCTTCTCTTCGTTCCGACAATCGCCACGTTACACGAATAGGAGACATAGTTACGAATGTTTTGATCGTATATAAAAGAAAAAAATAATAAAAAAGTGTAACCCATTACTACTAAGCCTTGATTAAATGGTCAATTTTAATTGATTGAATTGCTATCCTAAACTGCGCCAATTCATTTATTTATTTGAAAACATTCTTCATATCTTTTATATCAATTATTAGGTAGTAGGTAATAGCACACATATGATTGCATTTGATTGCATTGCTTACTATAGAGTACCTGTATGTGCATTTGAAAACAATGGATAATCCCTGGCAATAAATCTTCGAGCACATATATATATATGTACATTAGAACTAACAAACGATAGTCTCTGTCTATGTACGTAACGACAATATTAAACAATTTGTATTACGATTGTTTTGCCGCCACTCATGTGGCGGATTCATGTAATAATCGAAACCACCTACAAATCTTATGTCTACATATTCATGAGCGGAGCAATAATAATAATTATAATAATATTGGTAATAAGCCATCTAAAGAGTAATGAGAAGAGAATTTGTATTGATGTATGGCATGAAAATGATAAAATATCAAAAATCGTAAATTTTCATAAAAGATGCACCAGATGCACCCAGCACCAAGTAAGGGTTTCGATAGCGTAGCAGCAGAGAAGCGAATAAGCGACCGTTAGAAGCAAAATAAAGAAGCTTAGAATTTGCTTAACTATAAAATGTTGCAACTTTAGAACATTGAGATGCAGTCAACTTTTGTATCGAACTAGAATACATTGATTTGCGGAAGATTTTTGAATATTAGGAGAGAAAAAAAGAAAAAAAAAAAAAAAAGAAAAGCAAAAAGAAAAAGAAGACCAAGAAAAGTGAAATTTATTAAATCAAATATAAATCATTTTTCATTAGAAATGAATTTTAAAAATTTCCTCTTCATACTTAACGGTATGGTATACAAATTTCTTCTTTTAATGCATAAGAAAAGCATAAGAAAAACCTTTTGAATGATACAAAGAAAATACAAAAAAAAAATTAAAAATTAAAAATCAAAAAGAAAACCGTTTTAAATCATAACGAGGTTATGTATTTCAAAGTGTGCGTATGTGTTAATGCATCGTGGCTGTAACTGATAAAATACTTCCTTTATCTTAGATACCCAAGATACTTACAGTGCGCGAAGCAAACACTGAGAGAAAAGTCTTTTGCGCAACCGCTCTCTCTCTCTCTCTCTCTCTAGATATATATATAAATATATATCGTGTTTCTCTTTTTCTAACTCTTCTTCTTCTTCTTCTTCTTATTGCTAAGTTCATTACAATACATACATGAGAAAAGTCTTTTGCTGCTGATGGGGGGGCATGGCCAACTTAGCAAACGAAAAAGCAGAGAGAAATCAAAGCTGATGATAAATAAAAATTGAATTATACTAGAGATTGCTTATCTTTAACCGGAGACATGTATACTTGACCTTAAAATTGGCCAACTTTAGCTTAACATCGAAAACACAAACAAAAACAAAAACAAATTATAATAATAAAATATTTATATTTGTAAACACAACTCGAATTTTAAACTTTCTTCGTTTCAGGTCTGCTTATATTAAGTCCCGTTTGTAGAGTAAGTTAAATCATTTTCATCTTTAGTTGGCATTGAATTGAAAATATATTTTGGAATTATGGTTTTAATTACTACTTAGACTCAAAGTACATATAACTATGGTGGTCTCGAAACCGATAAGCTAACTGCCGCTGCTGTTAGTGCTCCGATACGTCCGCTGACGGCTGCTTATCCTTCCGCTACAACCGGTGCGGCCGTTTTTCCTACTGCACCCACCGCTTTCGGCGGCGTTGCAGCTTCAGCCGCCACTGCTCCAGCAGGATCCTTTGGGGGTTTCGGCGCCACATCTCAAGGTCAACGTACTCTAACACCTCTTTCGCCCAGCACAACGGGCAAACGTCCTTCAACTCTACCGCAAAGGCCTACAGCCGCTTCTGCGGCTGGTTCACCCGGACTCTACGGACAATTTGGTGTTACTGGTGCGGTTAGAGGTTTAACTACCGCCACGGGCTCGTCAGCTCCAAATGACGCGGAGGGCGATTACTCTGCCATTCCTGGTGTACCCGGCATTGATTATCCCCTTTTTAGTCAAGTGCCTCCAACAAATTTTGATTGCGCTCAACAGGCTCTGCCAGGTTATTATGCCGATATTGAAGCTCAATGTCAAGTCTTTCATATATGTGCTCTCAATCGTACTTATTCTTTCCTGTGCCCGAATGGGACCATATTTAGCCAAGAGGTTTTGGTCTGCGTTTGGTGGAATCAATACGATTGTGCTTCAGCTCCAAGTTTATACGCGAACAATGCATTCATTTATGATTACGGTACCGAAAGAATTCCGACTAATGCCGGCTATCAAGGTGGTGCGCCAACGCAACAAATCGGTCGCGGACAAAGCAATTTACTAAGCAATACCGGTAGAACATCGGCTGGCCCCGCTAGCGGTATATTCGGTGCTAATAATTTGCGTGCCAACCTACCAGGAGCAAATAATATTGCCATACAATCTAATACTTTATCGACGGTACCATCGGCGGTTGGTCGTTTCAATCCTTCGGTTGTTGGTAACGCACCTTCTCAAGCATTCCCCGGCGCTACAGCTTCTACGTACGGCGGCATATTACGCCCTGCAAATGCAGCCGTAAGTTCTGCTGGGGCGGGCAATACAGCCGCAGCCAATTATGGCGGAGCTATACAGGAACCTGCCTACTCAAACGCTCGAGTCGCTACACCAACTAGCAATCGAGAATACTTGCCGCCTCGTCGAAATTAATTTTACAAAATTTAAATAAATCAATTAAAGCAAATTTTTCATTCATGAACAAATCGATAAAATGTTCCTGTTCTCGGCGATTTATCCGCAACAAAAAAAAAAAAAAAAACGCTCCAACAAAAAGGCAACTCTGTGTACGTTAATAGGTTAAGATTAGATATTTTATATACCATCTCTTCATGCAATTCTATTTACTAAATTTTAAGGGCATGCCTTGTCTTCTTCTTTCTCGAACTATTTTGCATTAAATCACACACACTTATGTAGATATTTTTAAACCATAAATAAATTTTATTTGCAATTACAAGAGATTTTAAATATGATATCGGACCAAAACTTGTTTATAAGAATTACAGATAAATGAGGAGATCGCAGATTGTACAGCGCTTAAGAGCCTTTTTATACTCATCACCGCAGCTTGAGGAGGAAGCTTCAGAGGTCAAATAAAGTATACATATCTTTGATCAGTATCGAATTTTGAATCGATTTAAGCACATCCGTCCGTCCCTCCGTCTAAGGTCAACATGCTTTTGTCTACAAAAATGCAGCTAGCAATATCAAATTTGACAAAAACATTGCACATATGTTGGTATTGAAAATAGGCTAAATCGGTTGAAAATCAGTCGCTTGTATTATCACTTAAAGGGAAGACACCTCTATTTTTCAATAGTAACACAAAATCATTTTTTTGCTCATTACTTCATAAACTATAGCAGATAAATCCAAAGCAATTGAAATATATATTCCAGAGGCGTTCTTGTAGTGTCTGTACCACGCCTACTCAATATTATAGTCTATCAAAATTTCACTTTGTTTTTCACTAAAAAGCCAGCTGCAAAAACCACGTAAAGCATATATAGATTTTTGGCCAGTTTCAAATCCGGAATGCACCTAAGCATACTTGTCTGTCCGTCTGTGCAAGCGCGTAGTATATTTGGTTTTTGCAAACGGGGGAATGTTTTCCTAATAGTTGTCTTAATGACCTTAGAAAGAACGTCAAATTGAAAGCAGTTATTAACCCATTAATCAATTAACTGATTCGATCTCTTTGGAATGTACGTAATTTAAAGAAATTACTTTTATTATTTTTTCTTTTTTTACTTAATACTCGCATTTATTTATTTACCTAAAATAACATAAGTATTTGATAATATGAACGCAAAAAATATGCAAAATTAATTTATTACTTTAATGGAAGAAATTACTTTCACACAAACACATTTTCTCAAGTCCATGATTATGGCAAATATACGTTCAAACGATAAAGACTTGGTCAATACTCTCCAATTAGCTTGAATGTGTGTGTGTCGTTGCCACTTTACCGGTTTACAAATTTGATAGAGACATTTGATGTTTTTGGCACGCCTGCTGCTATTGAAAATGGGCGAAATTAATCGATTGCGTTTTTATTGAACAACAGTTTATGAGTATTTGCTCATTAGTCACAAATGATGAAAGATAGAAAGATGAAATTTACTTTACGAAAAACTTTTCCACTTGTATGATTGAATGTTCCTTTAATTCACTTTTTTGCCGTTTTATGCTTACCTGTCGTAAGGTAAAAGAGACAGAAGTATGTTTAAAACTGTTTTGCACATCTCTGATGTGAAGATATATTATCCACGCAAGAAGGCGTTAATTCGAAATTAATTATGGTGGACAACGTGAACTGGTAGATTAATTTGTCCTTGATAATATCAGCTGGGTGGGTATCATTTAAAGGAGGTGTGTTAGTTCTAAATTAAATATCTCGGACGCCAAGTGATGTAGTGAATCAATTTTTTCGTCACAATACCGTTATAATACGTATAAGAAAAAAAAAAAAGAAACAAGTTGGAGAGTAGAATGCGATAAAGTGCGTTAGTCGTAATTCAGTTATGGTCGCCGTTTAAAAAAAACCCAAAAACGTTTGTGTGCTGGGTACGCGACCCGCCGAATATAACTTTCCCGCTTGTTTTAACTGCAATTTTTTGATTGCATGGCTTTGCTAGCACGTACGCACTCTTTCATCGAAATTTTCTTTGATGCAGCATCGAATATCCTCCTTCCATGCAACCTATTGGTTGTGGATTTTTTGGCAAGGACCATGGACTTCAAATAACCCCTTAAAAAGAAATCCAGCACTCTCTCGTGTAACGTTCCATTTGGTACTAATCTTAAACTGTGCAAGAGATCGATATGACTCGGTGTCCAAAAGATTTTCATATTGTCCCCCTGCAAATGGGGATCGAATTCCTTACCTTAGTATTGTGTTGATAATGTTTCGAATTTCGAATTTAAGGGATTGTGGATAGAAAACCATTTTCATTATGTCAAAGCAAAAGTATTTCAATTTCGAATTGAATCAATATTAAAAATATCTTTTTGATTTTAATTAAAGGCTTTTCTATTCCCGTCATATCTCGACAAATAAATAGAATGTCGAAAAAAATTTGGAAGAAATTGCGAGTTTTTTTTGGAATTCCGAAAAAACACTTTAGTTTGCTTGCGGGTACAATCGCTGTCACCAGCTTATTAACAATATTTTTCTCTGGTTTTCGTTATGAGGCGAAAAAATGTAAACAATTTCTGGTTAATGTAGCGGCCATTATACTGCTCCGATTTGTTGTTCTCGAGCATTTAGGTTTTTCGATTCAAGCGTTCCTGGTAACGAAATGGGAACAATGGTCTTCTCATTCTGTCGGCTCTAGCGAGCACGAGCTCACGTCGCGGCATAACTACAATATCATCAAATATTTAAAACTTCGCCTGCACAGCGTTAAGGCAGAATTGGAATTATCGCCACGTCATAAGGACGAATCATTAAATCTGGAATATAGAATGATAACACATGAACTATGGCTATATTCCAAGTACTTCATTGCGGTTATGGTGCTCATCATTTATTCACGCAATCCGTACGTTTATTATAATACACAAACGGTGCGGGCGACATTAACCAATTATCGTTTAGACACGTACGGCTTGGAAGAGGCGAAAATAATTGAGGATTTATATACGTATATTAACAATACTCTCATACAACCGTTCAATCAAGGTGTAGACTACGATGATAAGCGTATAGAAGAGCCCGGTTGGCTACATTTTCAATTGGCCAAATTATTGGGTGTTGTACGTTTGCAACAAGTTCGCCATGCTGTCAAAGCAAATGGTATGAAATCCGTATATTTCGCTAATGAGAAATATATGCCTGACTGGGAGAAGAGTGATAAAAAATTTCATTATATCGATAAATATTGGCGTACATATGAGCCATGGCATGCTAAGAAGGATGGCGGACTTAGCACCTGGCTGCTGGGTAGCACTCATTATGGCTCGTTATACACATATTGGGACAATCAGGGCTATATGGCTTTATTGGCTCGTGATGCAGTAAATAGTGAAAAAGTTCTTAAATATCTAAAAGAACATCACTGGTTAGATAATCGTACTGCAGCCCTATTCATCGATTTCACTTTATATAATGTGGATTCGAATGTTTTCACAATTTGTTCTTTAATAATAGAGCAAACGCCGTTTTCTAGCGTAGTATGGCATATGAAATTGAATTCGTCCGCCTTGCTCAGCAATATTGATCAGTTCTCCTACTGGTGGCTGCTTCTGCTCTTCTTATATGCTTTAGAGCTAATACAATTTACAAAAGCGATGATTTTAAAAGCCTGGTATATACCTCGGTTTTTTGCTTCCTATTGGAATCGTGTCGATGTTTCAATTTTAATCATGAACTTTCTAATATTCATTGTCTTGAGTTTACGTGACAGTGCTGTGGTCAATTCTTTGAAGTACTTTGAGAAACTCAAAAAACTCGAATATGTAGATTTTCGAGTACCTGTTTACTTGGACTACATCGCGACACTTATGGAAGGATTTCTGGTAGCTTTAATCACTATACGCATTTGGAAGGTTCTACAATTTGCCCCCGTATTCCGCTTATTTACACACACTCTGTTTAAGGCCGCCGTTCCTTTGATGTGCAGCATAATCGGTTTACAAATCTTTCTAATGGCTGTGAGTTTGGCTGCTCAGATTATCAACGGTTCGCATAGTGAAAATTTTGCCCGTTATTTTACCAGCATTACGTCAATAATAAGTTTCAGCTTTGGATTCAGCTCTCGCACTTCCCCTAAAGATTTAAGTCATGGTGGCAGCGTTCTGGGTTTTATACTTTATATTATTCTCATGTTCGTCATTGCTATATTTCTGATCAATTTTTTTGTTACACTGATAATTGAATACTTAAAGGAGGCCCGAAAAGAACGAGACCAACAGCAACCCGACCAATTGACTTATTGGGAATTTATTAAAGCCGAACTAAAACCATTTAAACTTAAAGTAAAAAAATTTATAAAACATTTTGCTCGGCGTAAAAAAAAACAAACTGTTGCCGATGAAATTGAAGAGCGATTTGATAAACTGCAAATGCAACGCATAAAAGCGTCGGAGAGGACCGCTCATCTTAAAAGCAGAATAGAAGAACAAAGTTCTGATCAAATTTATGACTTGGAACGCATTAAAGCTGAACGTATACAAAAAATGCATCTCATATTTCAAACACAAATTGAACTAATCGGTTGTCTGTTGGATGAACAACAGAATGCCGAAGACGAAAGTGATAGCGAAGAAGAATCAACGGGAAATTTGGAATTGTCAAGCGAAAATCAGGCATTGGAAAATCTTAACACCAAGTAGAGCTTTTAAAATGATCGACGGCACGGTATATACATATATGCTGACAGGCATGTGTTGTACGCTTCGTATTAGTGATGTTAATAAACGATTTGTATTGGAGTTGATGGGAACGATATCGACACAATACACCACCATCGCTCCCAAATTGTTGATGCACCGGGCAATCACGATCACACAAAGTCAGAGATACTGTACTCTCCAAAAGTCCTGTCTAAGCTTACAACGTTCGTGTCAAATATCGCACAAAAGCCTCTGTAAAATGCATCGACGCTAAACAATTCATCATTATTTTCTATCTTAAGATTTTAAGAGAGTAATAAATTATTTTATAAGGAAATTTGTATTAGGGAAGAAAGCACGGTTTTTGAAATATTAGATAATTCTATACAACTTTTCGCCTTTGGTCTTTCAGCAACTTAGTTTCAACTCTTTATAAAAGTCAATAATCTCCGAATTTTTTGATGTGTCTTCCAGGTGGGTGAAGTGCTCTTTGAATAATTTTTGATAGTCAAGTTTGAGATCCTTTTGTAACTGACTATGTTTACTCTTTTTGATTTTAGGTTCACTTGATGTTTGGGGGGGCACCGGGATCGAAGGATTGAACACCATTGACGTACTATCAAATTGTTCAAATAGTTCCAAAGCCGTCCTATAAAATAAAAAAAGTAGAAAAAAACGAACGAGTAATAGTAGTTCTTTTTACGCCAAATGAATTAAGAGTCCTTACAGTTTTCCTATTTCTGAAGGCAGAGAGCCTTCCCCAGTGGCTGGAACCCCATTAGCTATATGTAAAGCCATTTTGCGTACTGTAGGATGGTAATGACGGGTCAGCATTGTTAATTCATAGAGAGCCGTACACGAGGCATTGCAATATTCTGGATCCTCCAATTCCGGATTGTATTTACCTGATCCAATGCTGCAATCAGTGTCTAGGAGGATGTCTAGAACCGAAGTTAATTGAAAAGTTGTTTTAATGGTGCCCAAACTAGCTAAAGTTCCGTGATGCAATAAATGCAAAGAAACAATAAGCAAACGTTTGACAAATGCCATTAAACGTTGCTGACTAATGTTGCGCCTGCGCTTCACTAATACCTCGTCCAAAGTCTTTAGAATTATACAAAAATCGTCATGATTTTTTCCAGCATTTACAGCTAACATATTTCTATAGAAATGTTGATAAAAACGTATAGGATCTATGTTCAGAACTTCGCCCTGACCTGACAGTATAGCAAATATCGTTTGTATACAGTGCAACTGTTCACGGTATCCCAAATCCTCTTGGGTTTCCAAAATGCGATTCAGCACATCAATTAGATCGGCAAAAAAATCCAAATTAATAACATGGGCGAATCTAAGCATTTCGAAAAGATGTTTAAGTAAAGGAGAAATTTACTAAATTATTTGCGAAGTAAAAGACTTACTCTGCCAATCCTTCCAGAATGGCACTCAATACTTTTGAATTGGGATCGTTTTTTAGTACCCGAAAGTATATAGTAAACATCATTTTGACTATCTCGGTTAGTTTGTAATTTTTAGTCTGTTTGTTCTCCTCGGCACGCGTCTCTTCTAATTCTTTATTCAATTCAGCCAATTTTTTCCGCCTTTTACGTTCCTTCTTGGAAAGATTTAGCACACGTTGACGATGTGCTTCTAATTTCTTTTGTTTCAATTCGTTTTCTTTTTCCAAGTCCAAGTTAACATTTTTTATTTTTAACGCCATTAGGCAAGTAATGCATTCCAAATTAACATTATTATTTTTGGTCTTGATTAAATGATTTATGCGACGTATTATAAAAAGAGACATCTCTAGCTTTTTATCATTAGCAAATACGTAGCGAAAACATTGGTTGACTGCTGCTCGCATGCGAGGATAATTACAATTCAGCATATACACAAGCAGTTGAGCAACATTTTTAACATAATTGAAGTAAGGATGTGCAGTAAGAATCTCGCACATACTCTGCACAGACACTTCAGCCATTTTAATAGCTTGAGGTGTTTTGCTAGTCTGGCCACGTCGATTTACTGCTGCCGTTAATTTCTCCAAACGTTGTAAGAACTTTTTAAATTGTTGCAGTAAAGCATTTTCATAGGTTACTCTCTGTAAGGTAGCCTTGCGCACGTGTTGCATTTTAGTATCAACCTGACCCACACGATATTCCGGTAATATATCTTTAAAAATTTCTGTTAATGAAACTATAGCTAACTTTCGCACAGTCAGCAAATTAATTGATCCCGTAGGGCTAGTTTCATCCATAAGCTCAAATAAAGCCTTAAAATTTCGAATTTTATCTTCAGGTTTCTCCAAAATACCTGAACATATAATGCCTATACGATACTTTTGGCGTTCAATTTCCTGCTGGCGAGCTATTAATAAATCAGTAGTTGTTATTACTTTGTTCTCTGGGTTAATCGAAGCAATATTTGTATCCTCATCATTAACGATGTCTTCATCGCTATCCTCATAGAACTCCTGTTCCAGCACACTGTCCTCATTTCTTTCCTCCTCCGGTTTTTGTTTCTTAATGTTTTTTATTTTCGCCTTATAATCTACTTCTGCGGATCGGGCAATAATATCACCTTCGCGACTTTTGATAGGCAATAGATTCACTTTCACCTTTTTATTCTCCAATTCTTCTGCAGTTTTACTTGCATATTGCTTTTCCAAGCTAATAGAATATTTAAGATCCGCATGGTTTTCTTCCCCTACTTCTTCTACATATTTACGTTTTCTTTGCTTAGAATTTTTACTTAATTGCAAATATTCCAAATCTTCATCTTCCAACATATCAGCTACTTTATCCACTAGATTGTCTCCATCTTCTTCATCACTTTGAGGTGGTAAATTTGACATCCGTGTCTCCTGTCTATTCTGCCTCCTTTTCTGGGCTAAATTATCTTTTTTCCTGGCTTTTTGTATGAAAACGTTTTGTGCCTTCTCCTTCGCAGCTTTCTGTTGGGCTAATTTTTGCTGCTGTTGTTTACTTTGTGGAGCCTTTTTGTTTTTAAGATGAGCGGCTCGTTTAACGGAACTAATTTTTACCTTTTTCTGCAAATCAAAAGAAAGGTGAGAAGGAATGAATGCGAATTTTTCCTTAACGAGAAGGATCAAATAAGGTACATACTATTCCCATTTTTAACTGAAAGAAATAACTTTTTATTAAGTTTCCCTTTTATTATTTATCTATTACTAATAATTGTTACTAATTTTAAATAATAAAAATTGTTAGCTTAAAGCCGTATTAAAAAAAATAAAACCACATGTATTGGCAGTGCTGTCAAGTTATTGCCAATATTGCTATGTTTGAAGGTGACCAGACTTTCACTTAATTGTATTGATAAAAGTTATCTTTTGGCTTGTTTTGGATTGTTTTGATAGTAGTGCTTGGCAGTGAAACAATTATTATAATGAAATTAAACTTTATTACATTGTATTGAAATTAAATAGAATATTAAAAGAAGCAAAATTTGTTCAATTATCATATTACTTTTTAAAATAACAATAATAAATAACAATAATGCACTTTTATCGATAATATTAAAACACACCATCACTAATAATATAGATATATAAACAATAATATCATTTTCTTATAAATTATTTAAAGGCCTTATTCATTTAGGCAAATTAAAAAATAAATTATTTTAGATTTCAACAGACCAAAATAGAAAATGTCCGGGGATGAAGAGGATTATATGTCCGATAAATTTCTAAATGGGTAAGCACCGAGTAATGCTAGAATTAATTTAATAATATTTAATATATACATATTTAGCGGAGAAGATGTAAGACCTAGCTTAATTTACAATCGGGCGAAAAAGCGGGAATTAGCCGTAGCAGAAAAGCAAGAAGAAGTAGTTAAAAAGCAAAAGCGCAGCAAGAGAGAGCGTTTGGGCTTTATGGACAATGAAACACTGCAGGATGCGTTAAAGAAGCCGTTATCAAACGATAATAAAGGTTTTCAAATGTTAGCCAAAATGGGCTATAAGGCGGGCCAAACACTGGGAAAAAGCATAACAACTACTAACAAAGAACAAAAGTCTGCAACAGAACCAATTGGTATAATATTAAAATGTGATCGGCAAGGTTTGGGTAGAGAAGCGGCTTTAAAAGAGTTAAAAGAAAAACGTCGAGAAATAATGCTAAAGCGTTTACTAAAACAAAATGATAGAGAAATTAGTTTAGAAGAATACCGCAAAAGAGCTGCACAAAAAGCGGAAGAACGTTCAATATTGAACGCTTTAAGGTAACTTCTACAACTACAAGCTGATAGGTATTTTAAAACAAATTTTTCCACTACCTTCGTTTAAAGAAAGTGCCAAACAACCTGTGAAAATTTAGATCGCGAAGCTCAAATCGAGAAACCTGAAATGTATCGTTGGTTTTGGTATGAAAAGGAAACGGAAGAAACCGAAGATCTTGAAACAACCGAAAACGATATTGAAGAGGATTGCGCAGACGATGATTACACAAATGCTGAGAAACTGGAAATGCTAACAAGTTACTTACGTACAGCGTATAGATTTTGTTACTGGTGCGGAATACACTACGAAAGTGACGACGACATACTTGGGAACTGTCCCGGGCTTAATAAGGATGACCATTGAATGTAAAATTTGTCCTATAGGCTAATAATATATTTATGTATATGTATATATTTTAAGCTTTATATAATCTTGTAAATATATAAAAATTTGAAGATGCGCTTACAATTGAACTATTTCTCTTAATATAGGTAAACGAATAAGGAAAGTAAGTTGGAAATAAATGTCATAAATTTATACGTAGAACGGAATGCTGCTAAACACGTCCATCTAGTTTTTGTATCAGGTCGTGACATTTTTCAATAACGCTATAAATAAACGGGCGTTCCATGGGATCCATACGTAACATATAACGTATTAAATCGTGGATGTCCTATATACGATATCAAATAGCGATGAAAAAGGTGGATGGATTGAGTGGAGTGAAAATTCCAACTTACTTGCGAGTAAATGTTTTCATCAGGAATGTTAATGTTCCCACTTAATACCGCCAAAGCTACGCTATCGCCTTTTTCGTAAATGGGATCGAAAGGGCAATGAAAAAAGCACATAGCATATAAGAGACAACCTAAGCTCTGAAAATAAAGTTAATGCATTTCAAATCTATTATATTTGTCTTAACAATTAAAAAAAAAATACGAAAAATTATTTATTTCCTATTCTGCCTGTGCGACTTTTGTTAGTTGCCAGTTAACTAATTACACCCTTTTGACTGGGATTTTCATTTGGCTTCCCTCAATCCAAATTGTAATAACATAATTTTCGTTTCGTAAATTTCGGCAACTACTAGCAAGCTTTTAAAATTCTCTTTGCAAGTTTACTAGATTGCTCCGTTCAGTACGTAACCATTCCTCCACTTCAAATTTTGTTCTTTTATAAAGCTCCCAGCAAATTGCTTTCTATGACACTTAACTTTTTGCTAAATATATTTAAAAAGGCTTACGACAAAAATGATGATCACAAAACGGGAGAAGTAACGTTAGATGTATTGTGGTATCTCGGCGGGTTCTTTCACAGAAGAACCACCCGAACTGCTGGTTAGAGCTTGCTCCAAAGTCTCCCGGGGTTCGGCGGAACTTGTTGTCGCTACCTGTTCCTGACGAATCAATACGCATACTAATCCCGAACTACGTAGAAAACTAAAAATATGTTTGCACAATGACCCTTCATCATCAATATCTGGACAAAGTCAGATCTTGCTGGTTATGCTCTCGCCCTTGGTGGTATTTCGCGTTAATGGCAAAAAAACAAATTTTTTTTTATTATCTTTAGCTTCTCCTGCGCGATGATAATTTTTTTCAAAGACCATACTAACTGGAGCGAACAATCCCAACGTTATTTACGTTAACTGTAACTAGGTTTAAACATCTTTAATAAGCTAATAACATTCCACCTACGTTGTAGAGACTATCGATGTAAAGGTATGTGGATGGATAATGAAAAGTGAGCAAAAAATTTACCCAAATATCTGTGCGTTCATCAATTGTACAATAAGATTTCACAGAAAATAGTTCAGGAGCTCGATAAACTATTGAACTTCGTTCTTCTGCTTCATCTTGTAAGCGTTGCGCTTGTGTTTGACCGCAAATTTGTAGGCGGGCTTCAGTCATTGATCCTAAGTCCACAATAATGGGTTCAAAAGAATCGTTCAGGCAAATATTTGCAGTTTTTAGGTCCCTATGGGCGAGTGGCACTGGTTTAGCATCGTGTATGGCCCGCACACCTTCGCAAATACCCAGAAATATTTGCATTATCTGAGCTTCGGGCATGTGATCTCGTTTTTTAGCTCGCATGGTCAAATGATCTGCCAAGGAACCGTGTTTATAGTAAGGCAACACTATATACAAATGACTGACGGCATTTATCACAATATCCGCTGATCCCTTTAACTCGAAATCGAGGACTTTGATGACGTGTTCTGAATCAATGCGTTGACAATTTTCAATTTCCCGTAAAGCTATATTCTGATCATCTAAACTATGACAGGTAATACGCTTAAGGGCATATAATTTTCGTGTAATATTGTTCTCCACCAGATCTATTAAACTGAAACCTCTATTTAGAAAATTAGAAAAAAAAAACAACAATTAATTGTCCAAAGAGATAATCTTCCTGTTATTTATTTGCTTACCCTTGAGCTAATCTCTCACGCACTACGTATTTTGTTGAGTTGATGTTAAGTGTTTCCTTCGAACAAAAACAGCCACGTTTCATTATTAAAGTCCAACCGAAGCTATTCATTTTTATTATTCATATGTATTAAAATTTTCAACTTAAAAGTAATTTAAATAAAAATATTTAATTGTAAAAATTTTTTTTTATTCAATAATTAGTTAGTAAGCACAACAACAATTTATAGCAAAATGCTCATATGAAATGTAAATAGAGAATTATGGAGAAAGATACGAAGAAAAAGAAAGAAAAGGAAAGAAAAGCAAAAAGAAAACAATTACATAGTAAAACAGCTGTGCGTAATAACAGCTGTGTAAGAGATCAGCTGATTGCTTAGCTGTTTAGGGAAGAAGTGATAGTCGATCTCTTTTTATTTTTTTTTTGTAGAAAAATACTAAATTTTAATAAAATGCTAGATAATAAGAATAAAAGTACAAATACAAGCGAAGAAGAAACAGAATTATGGCAAGATTTTTTAAGCATAACACCTGATCCTCCCGAAAGGCGTGACAAATGTGAGAGCTGCAAGTGAGTTTGATTTGAAATTTTTGTTACTTTGTCTTTCTATTCAGTTTGTTGTTTTAGGCGTCCAAAGGTGGTTTGCTGGTGTCCTTCGCTGCCCCATCCTCCGTTGATCGTTAAAAGTTCTGTAGTTATTTTACAACATCCAGCTGAAGAAAAACGTACTTTGAGAACTGCATTAATGTTGCAATTGGGCTTGAGCGCTGGAACTTGCATAGTTTATAAAGGAAAACGGTTTCCTGGCCCCAGAAATCAACATGAACTTGAGCCCATTTTAAAGGCTCCCTATTCTTTGCTATTATATCCCAGTAAAACGTCTGTGCCTTTAGAGACTATAAAACAACAGATTATAAGTGGGTCAGTTCCCCTTCCTGGACCTCCTAGAACTTTTACTTTGGTACTAATTGATGGAACTTGGCCGCAGGCTAAGGCTATTTACGCGAGCAGCCCTTTATTACATCGAATGCTTCAAGTTAAGCTTATAGCAGCTGGCTGCAGCGATTACATTATACGTACACAACCAACCGAAGGCTGTCTCAGTACTTTAGAAACGGCCGCTCAATCGTTAGCCCTATTAGAGGACAGACCAGAATTGCGTGAATTATTAGTTAAGCCCTTGCATATGCTATGTAAATATCAACTTGACAATGGAGCTGTAGAACATCAATCTAAGGAATTTCGCATCAAACATCAACAATACCCCAAGCAGATAGGTAAACGTTTAAACCGTTTACTGAATTATAGCGCTATTTGTCGAAAAGAATCCAAAGAAGCACAAGTAGACTTGGCAACCAATATCTTATACTGTGAACAAGAGAAAACATGAAGAAAACATTACCCTACAACTATTTGGTGGATCAATTTTATATAAATGTAAAGACATAATTACAGAGTAAACTATGCTTAAAGTATCAATATTAAATCGAACGTTTAACAATTATCTTTTTTCTAACTTGAATATAGTTGTGGAAGGTTAAGTTGCGGTTATTATTATAGCATAGGGTCGTATTAATTAGTTCCATATCTATCCATGGTAAACTAAGTCTGCATACAATTTCTATATCTTTTGCTGCTACTAACGTGGTGGTAAGCCGCTAAATTATGCATTTGCAAATGCACAATAAGTTTGCGTAATAATGCTCCTATAAAAATAAAGTTGGAAATTGTATGCAGTTAGTTTCAATTAAAACGTGTGAACGTTCAGATTTATATTCACATCAATAACAATAATGCCTTTGAAGACTCCCTCGGATCTAAAAGCTCCACAATCTACTCGTATAGTAGTAATAGGGGCAGGACCGTCAGGTTTAGCAGCCGCTACGCGTTTAGTAGAAGCCGGATTTGAGAACGTTTTAATATTGGAAGCTGAAAATCGGATAGGTGGCCGAGTGTATACCGTTCCCTTCGGCGATAACGTGGTAGATTTGGGCGCCCAATGGTGTCATGGTGAAAAGGATAACG